TGAATAACTGCTAAGAACCATTAACTGTGCTACGGTAACTGTATTTTTTAGCCTTTGACACCGGTGACTGAGTTCTCGGACAACTGTCAGAAGTAATACTTTTATTTCTGTATACCCATATGTACCTGCTGATCAGCAGACAATTAAATTAAGTACATAAGTTTTACTTCATGTCATTTTTTCCCTCTTTTATGTTTACAGTCTCCCCTTGAAATCTATATTCATTGCTGAGTTGAAAATGAAAGTCCCCAATATCTCATTAAAAGCCGTACTGTTTGAAGGCTAATAGAGAACTCCTTCCTGTTAATTCTCTTGACTACGAAGGTTGTAAAATAAGATGAATTAAACAATACTAAAGTAACTAGAAAGCATTAAACATTCCTGTCAAGCTAGACTGAAATCAACTATTTATACACCACTAAATCACTTTCTGATTATAAAGCTGCTGCCAAATAGATTCAAATGCTAAAGGACCTGATGCTAAACAAATGGAAATTTTACTGCATTATTTATTTGGGCTAGTTAAACCTGTTCACAAGCCATAAAAATAAAATTTAATAGTGCTGTTGTGTTAAAGAAGTTGATGTTAATGGAATTACTTTGCTATTTTTATGCCATCTTATTGCACAGCTTTTTGAAATAATGAAATCGCCACTTCATATCAGACTAGCCTCCATTTGGCTTAATGTGCCATCTCTGGTAATGGCCAGGACCAACATTCAGATGAATGTGAGAGAACCTGTAAGCGGGGCGTTAATGAACACAGTGTGCCCAAGGGATGTTTCTTCTGGGCTCCTTTGACTAGAATTTTGCTTATAGCCTGAAGCTGGAGAGCTTATGTGCACTCCAAATACTTTGTAATGTGTGAATTTAATGAAGTTGGGAATGCTAATATCCACTGAAAAAGCGCATTCTTTTTGACCAGACTCAGCTCCTGAAATCTTAATATTTTAACAAGAATAAACTCAGTGTGGGTTGGTAGAAACATCAGTTTTAAAATTTCTGTCTTTCCTTTTTATTGAATGCTCTATTAATTTTGTGTTATGGGAGAAGATAAATCTAAGCAGCAGTCTAACTTCTCTGTAATCATTCTGTTGTATTCTCCTAGCAGGTTCCTCTTATTCGTGTGCTAATTAAACAAAGTAGTCTCTCTGGCAGGGAGAGATGTGAAATGAGTAGATTTACTGGGGGCCACAGATCTAATGAACACAGCTCTACTTCTATGCTGAGACTGCTTACAAGAGTGCTAATTAGCACCAGTTATGGCAGTGGGATTATGGTATGGATAGACTTCTACCATGACTGGGTCTGAATGCAAATTTTTTTCCAGTTTGGCCCTCATTCTCATAACGTAAGGAAGGAGAGCTGACACCTGGGAACCAGCTGTCCCCGGGTTCACTTGCCTCAGTGGAATAGAAATGAGGAGATTCTGTTCCAGTGCCAGATTCGAAAGCTGTGCACACTGCTGAAGAGCCCCTGCCTCAAACATGCTAACAGCATTGTTGTCAAGAAACAAGTGCTTGAGGTCTTGTAGTCCTTGGAAGTCCTGCGCTGTCACCCTTTGAATCAGGTTATCGCTGCAGTCGAGCTTCTGCAATCTGCCGGGCAGCCTGAGTGGCATAGTGTGGAGCTGGTTCTTAGAGAGCTCCAGTGTCATCAAGTTAGGAAGAAGCTGGGCACCATCTATTGACGTTAGCTGGTTTTCTGACAGGAAGAACTCGGACAGGTTTTCTAGCTGTTTCATGTCTCGAAGTCTTATTGTTTTGAGTTGGTTTTTCTCTAATTTTAGTGACACCAGGGATTTAGGTAGGTCAAGAGGCACTTTTGTCAGAAAGTTGCCACTTAAACTGAGAAACTGTAGATTTTGGAAAGACGCAAAGAAGTTGATCGGGAACGAGTTCAGTTTATTATCAGCCATGCTCAGATACTTCAGCCTAGGAAGCTTAAGCGGTGCAGACACAGATTCCATGTTGTTGCCGTCCAGAATCAGGCTTTGTAAATTGCACAGGGAAGAAAATACACTGGGAGGCAGAGTCGCAATCAAGTTGTTCCGAATATCGAGCACCCTTAGTTTCATCAAACCTTCAAAATCAGACGCATGCAGAGTGTTGATGGAGTTATCAGCGAGTTTTAAAATTTCAAGGCCAGATGGGAGGAAAGTGGGTATTTGCGTTAGCTGATTTTTGTAGAGTTCCAGGGACTTCAAGGTGCTCAGAGCTTTGAAAGTGTTGTTTTCTATTGATTCTGTGCCACTGCATGACAGGACAAGCTCTTCGAGGGCTGACATTCTCCTGAAGTCCGTAACCTTAAAGAGAAAAAAATAATTCATGTGGTAATACACCGTCTATTTATGGATCTCCTCACTGGTTACTTCTTCTGGATGCTCTGACAATTGCTAGTATATATTGAGAAACGATATATTTAGAATGAGAAACTAAGAGAAATGGTAACAATAGAGGTGTTACTATAGGCACCT